GCTCTTGGTGTTTTTTGGGCAGCATGCTTTGTAGACATGTGACAGGGTTGATTGTATAGTTTTAAGAACAGGTTAGACAAATACTTGTATGGGATGTTTCAGATGGGGATGATCAACAGCCACTGGTGTTGAGTAGGGAATTAGACTAGATGACCTCCTGAGAGCTCTTCCAGCCTAATTTTTCTGTGATTCTTGCTGGAGATCTAAAATATTCCATTTTCTTCATTTTATCAATCAAAACCATTTAGCTGTGTAACAGGGATACACTGCCCCTGTTACGGGAACGTTCGGGAAAAGCACCCAATTTGTTGAAAACTTTCTGTCAGACCCATGGAACTGGGCAACATATTGACTGTTTACCCATCCAGGATGCTAAATACCCGCTATGGACTTTGGCAAAGTGATGAGGTGCAGTTACTTGCTGACAGTGATGAGGTGCTCAAACAGATTGAGATAAGGAAAGGCTTAATTGCCAATTAAGTCTTTCTGGATTTTGGCGGACAACTGGAGATTGACAACAGCTGGGTGGAAATATTGTATAAAGGACTGTCAGTGCAATCAGCTTTTCCCCAGAAGGGGAAGAGGAGCCGAGGCTTTAGACGCCAGAGACGGCAAGCAGCCTGCACGGAGGTACAGGCAATGAGAGAGAGATTCGCCAAGAACTTCTTGTTGAAGTGGTGAGTGTTGGGCATCTGACCCGTTGGAAGACGATTCAGCTGGATGATTGCAGCTCTGTCCAGATCTATGACAGGGACATTGCTGCTGTGAATTGATAAGCTTGCAAACGCCCACCCGGTGAGTGTTTATTGCGGGACTGATATGTGAACTGAGAACGTGTAGGGAGAGCCATCTGAGAGCCCTATAGCTGGCAGCTAGCCGAGTTGCACTTCTTGTGAGAGGGCATTGTTGATGCTCATTATTAAAACTAAATGAGCACTTCTGTCATGTGGTGTCCCCTTTTAATCACTCCCATCAAAGTCATGGCAGGCAAGATTGACACCAAAATAAGGGGAAACAAAGCTATAACATCTTGTTGCGTGCCTTAGAAGAAGAACACGCTCACAAGCTGCAAAATGTTTTTTTCAAGGCATATTAATACACTGAGTTAAATTTTCCTCTGGGTTTATCAGGTACAAGTAGTCCAATGAAATGAGCATTCAGTGTGATAAACAGCATTTGGAGTGAAGAGAAAAGTCTAATGAACACAGACACTGTCAAAGCTGTTCTTTAGCTCAAAATGAATATTAACATCACTTGTTCCATTCTTTACGGCATGTTCCTTCCATTACCGAGTGACTGGAGAAAGAATAATCAACTTATGAGCCTGTGGCTGTTGAAGTTCAACCCCAACTCACTTTTTTTATTTGAATTACTTTTGCAGAGAGATTTCACGAACCTAAAAATGTCACCAGCAAAGTGACCTATCTTCACCTCTGCGTGGCCCTTGAGAGAATATTAATTTTTGTTGGCACATTAATTTTTCTCATTAGCATTTTTCTTTCCTTTTATTCTTCTCTGATTTTTAGAGGCATCTAAATCCAATAACAGCCACCTTTGAATCAAAACCACCATCTCTGAATGGATTTCAATCTGGGCAAGACCACCTGGTTCTTGTCTGGTAACAGCAATGTTTTCCTTGCAAAATGTTTCATTGAGGTTCCTGGAAACTTATTTCAGCTTCTGCAATTGAATCTATCAGTATATGTAGTTTCAGAATCCTGGAATTTGCTCTTTATCTTCCAGCAGGGGGAAAAAAGACATTGGGTCCCCTCCATCAACTAGAGCTTTTTATCCTTTGTGAAAACTGTTCTTTTCCCATAAATCAAAACAATGAGCTGTTACAGCTCTTTGGAAACTGAGGATTACTAGGAAGGAGCCATAATTGAGGAGCTGGCTGGGCTATTTTTAGAGGACACAACTTTTATGCCAGATCATTCAATCATGAGGTAACCTTTTAGCTTCTTTTATCCAAAGCACATGAGAAGGCTGTGATGTTCAAAGGAGATGAGAGAATTAAGGTTTTTAAGTTCCACTGAATTACAGTGGGATTCAGGTGCCTTTATGCCCTGATTTTGAAAATCTCAGTTTTAGTATTTCCAGAGTTATTACAGAGAAAATGTACAGGGGAGGGAAACTTGCCTGGAGTCCAAGGAATAATGTACTGCTAAACAGTAACTGCCAACCAAATGATCTAGGTAGTCTGTGCAGCCTGAGGTCCTGGACTAATGGTAACACTTTTAAGTCCAGCTCTTTTCCCAGTTATTGAAAAGAACAGCTGGGGGAAAGCCATATTAAGTAGTCCTGGGTAGAGGATGGAGCAGAGTAAATTCCATAATGGAAAAATAGGACACCTCATTTTTTATTGGCACCTCAGTGCTGTAGCAAGTAAAGGCATAAGTCCTGCCTGCTATGGATTGAAATCCTTTGACAATTCTGGAAAGGGGACACTTTGGAAGAGGATGTGATCTTGACCACATTATGCAATGAAAAATGTTTATTTTCTAGGAAGAGAGCAGGCTGTCCTGCAGCATTATAGGGCATCCAGACCTTGATCCAAAGCCTGTGAAAGTTGAGGGAGGGGTTCTCCCACTCAAATATACTTGTATATTTCTCTTTTTTTTAATTCTGTGCAAGAAATATACTGGGTGTGGTTGATAAATGAAAGTTAATTTACGGAACAAACTTCAAGACAGATCCTGGAGCCTCAGTAAGGTGCACTTAACCCAGGACCCTAAGTGGAAGACAAGAAATTCCCATGTCTGCCACTGACTTCCAGTGTGACCCTAAGCAAGTCACTTGAGCTATCTGTGTCCTAGTTCCCTGTAATTATCAAGATGATATTTATCAGGATGATAAAATACTGCCCCCCCCCCCCACACTTTGACTGCCTCACTTATTCAGATGGTTAGCTCTTCTGGGCATTGTCTAGTAAGATCTCTGTGAAAGGAACTGCATACTACTGTCCATTACCTTGTCCTGGAAAACCAATGAACAGTGCTGAATATTCACAAGTGCCCTCTCCTGATTCTTTGTTGGTTAACTATCTAACTTTTGTGTGGAAAAAGAAGTTTCTAATTTGGAGAAAATTCACATTTTCTCTCTCTTTTTTTTAATTCTAAATTTCCAGCAAAATGGAGAATTTCAGGGCACTGCACTGCCCAGGGAACAGACTAACCAGTTCTCCTTATCCAGCAGGGTCTCTGCGGAGCCTGGCAGACCACACACTGGTTAGGGCAGGCATCATGGGCAGGCAGGTATCTGGTGAGCCCATGGTGATGACAGCCTGGGTGTCTGCAGAGAGAAGTAGGAGGCCCATGGATCCTAACAACCTGATGGCTGCCTGCCTTCATTATTTCCACAGTGGTTTGGTGGAAAGGACACATTCCTACAGGACATTGTAGACTAGGTCTATTGTCTACCTATACACCCAGCCACCTCTTTTGTAGATTGTTCTCATCACAAGGACAGTCTCTCAGCATGACTGGACTCTACTGTAGGGTGGGCCTGGAGAAGCAGTTGTAGCATATGTATCCATAACTGAGATGAAACAAAAGCCATCATGTAATACGCTTAGATTCACAATACACCTAGATTAACAGGGACACATCTTTGCAGTGGTTCCCAGTTCTAACCAATCTCTTACTCTTCTAGCTCTACATGAGACACCCCAGTGGGCCAACTTCTGGTCTTGTGCAAGCAGGTGAAACTCAGTCAGAAGTGGCGTAAGATTGTGCCCATTTCCAGAGGTGCTGCATATCTAAATTTGTCCCTCTGCATGCTTAGATGTGCTTGGCCGAATTTTGCCTGGCCTTTTGTGTGCTGAACCACGGCTTTTTTCCCAATGCAGGTACTGATTGCCCCCATAACTGAACAAGGGCAAGTCCAGAGGGATATCTACCTGCCTGGGGAAGACCACCTGTGGATGGACACCAACACTGCACAGGTGTTTGATGGAGGGACTGTCATCAGGAACTATTCTGTTAAGATTGCAGAGGTGCCTGTTTTTGTAAAGGTTTCTTCAATGCCAGACTGTCCAAGGTTTCCATCCTCCACAGGAGAATGATGCTGACAAGACTTGCTCTTTCTTTTTCAACAGACTGTTTCATCCATTTGCACTTTTCCAGGAACTCTTGTTTGGTTTTGATTTGCTTTTGGGTTTTTTCAGTTGTGTTTAAATCTTTTGTTGACATTTGTTACCATTCTGAGATAGCAAAATATGACAAGATCTTTGGTGCAAAATATAGATGCTTATGCACATCCAGCACATCCAGTGAGATCCTTCAGGTTCAGCTGACCTGATCCCATGTGCTAACTATGAAGAAAGCCTTTGATTAAATAGCAGTGAAAGAGAAAGCCTCAGAGCCATAAGGTAATGGGAATAGCAGACCACTTTGATGCCTACTGGAAAAATCCTCTTGCTTGGGGGAAAAAAATCAGCGAAGCACAGAGCTAGGTATGACAGAGAGCATGACTGGCTTCTTTGGAAAGAAATAGTTTGGGCTGCCTGCTTCTAGCTTCCTGAATAAAAAATAGGATTGCATCTTCACCTACCTCTATATATTACAGTGTTTCAGTTGGGGAAAATGGCAGCATCCATCCTTGGACCTTATGTTGGCATCTCAGTTTTTGACAAGGGAAATGTCGGAGTTTCATTAGACAATGCATTCAACAAGGAGAAAGCACAATAAAGCTGATCTGTAGCATGTGTAGGTTGCAAGTGTAAGGAGCCTTCTTCATTTCAGATGGATAATTTTTTTAGAAACTAACTTGTCTGTTGCCTTTTACTGCCACATCCCCACCTCAGAGAACCTGCCTGTGCTTTTGGGAACAGCCCGAAGCTGAAAAAGGACTTTGCTCATTTCCAAAAATGAGTTATCTAACTTTTAGAAGCAGTGAGCACTTAGCATTTAGAACCAGCAGAGCCAAGGATTTTTCAGGGTGGTAGCCCAAAGGACATTCAGATGGCTCTAAAGCCAAGATAATTTTCAGAGCTGTTTGTAGCTGTGCTAAGGATAAGTTCTCAGTAGCTGATAAATACTGCAGAGACAGAACATGCATTTACAAGTAGCGTTAGCATAGTCAGAAGGCAGAAATAGCTTGTCAGGGACTTCAAATGACCCTACCATGGGGCACATCTATATAGGAAAGAGAAACGGTCAGATCTTTAATGCTAGAAGTGTAAGGAGAACAATATCTTGGGTTTTTATGTCTTCCATTCTTAATCCCCAGCTTCACGTAGGGCAAATGTCTTATCACCTGTGATAAATGGGCTGGATCCCCACTCAGCATAAATTGGCACTGTCCTACTGGAGTCAGAGAAAATAGGTTGATTCATACCACAGCCCATTGCCTTCCTCTGCTTGTGCAACCCCTACGGCAGACAATACTTGGTGTTTTCCTAACTTTTATCAAGAATACTGAGGCTGTCTTGGACCATGAAAAGATTGCACATGCAGCATTAGAAGAGACCAGACATGCTGAGCAAGGGAGGAATAGCCAGGTATGCCACACACAGGGCACAGAGGGTTTCCCTGGTACAGCATAGCATGAACACCAGTTGTAGGACAGATGAGGCTGAGGAAATGACTAGGAGTCATACCAGTCAGTGCAGCTCTCGCAGTGCTGAATGGCTACTGCCTTGACCTAGTATCTAAAAAAAGTCTCCTCCAGCTATTCACTGGCCTTGGTGCCTGACATGAAATGAACAGAACTGATACTACAGGTTCAGCCCAGGTGTTCATTTCATGCTTTCTGTGCTGAACATGATCTTGCTGCAGCTCCCACTAGCCCCCTTGGCCTTCTCAGTGTATCTCTGCCTGCACCCTAATTTCTGAGTTTAACAAACATAGGCCCCTTTGACTAAAGCAACCAGCTAGTCCCAAGTTCAGAGGGTCTGAACTGGTGCCCCACAAGGAAAAGCTGGTTCTGGGGGATCCGACTTCCCCTTAAATATGCTTGTAGCAGTGTGCACTGGGTCCGGCTGCATCTTCTGAGAGGAGATAACAATATGCTTCCAAGTGCTATGTGATTACAGTTAGTCCTCTTCCAGTTATGGAGGGAGCTGTCAGGAGCACTCAGTCATTGAGCTGCATGAACACAGTTCAACTAATTAGCTCTGCTGATAGGAAGGGCTAATAGCTCCATGGCTAAGCTGCTTCTGGTTTATGAGGCAGCCCATGACCATGCCTATTCAGCAGGAATGTGTATCACTGGGACCCCCAGTACTGAATCCAAGGTGTAATTAACTGTTCCTCTTAGGTGAGCTAATTAGCTCCTGCTTTCCCAACCCAAGTGCTGCTCCAAGGAACCGATGCTAACCCAAATCAGAAGTGGTGTTGAGTAGACTGCTTCTAGTTTTGGAGGCCTGAGAAGAGTCCTGTGTTCCAGGCTTTCCTGAAAACTATCACTGTCTCTGGCCCCTTCATAGGTTCTGCGCGATACTCTCCTTTACATTCTGTGCCATCTTGCAGAGCCTCCATGGATCTGTCTGCCTGATCAGCTCTCCCTGTCATCTCAGTCTCCAGCTGCAAAGCTACTTTTCTTCTCTTCCCCTGTTGCATATTTCCTCCCTCACACAGCTATTCTGTTTTTAGTGCTACAGTTGCATTATTTACACCACCGTAGAAAAGCGCTTCAAGGTACAGTTTATAGGAAATAAGTAAAGTATTGCTACTACAGACACCCAATGTTACTGGCTTTATTGGGCACCCTTACCCATGTAATGTGCTCACTGGGACTCTTTGTTTCCCCTTCTGGTGTATGAGCCCACTGCAGCTTTAGCTGTAAGAGCTGCATCTTTTAACACAGGTAGTCTGTGTTTATATCATAGAGAATCATAGAGAAGTAGGGCTGAAAGGAGCTTCCACAGTCATCCAGTCAAGGGGTTTTCAATCTCACCCCACCCCCGCGTCCGGCAGGCCGGGCAGCACCTGTGCAGCTCGCAGAGGGGAGCTCCTGCCCTTGCCTGCCCTCCTTGCTCCTGAGAGGCATCACTGCAGGCTGGTGGGTGGCAGCACTCTGTCCCCACCCGCCTGCGCATACCACCTAGGCCTAGGGCCTTCTCAAGTACCCCCAGGGGTATGCATACCCTTGGTTGACAACCCCTGATCTCATCCACCTCCGCTGCCCAAGGAAAGATAATCCCTGTCCAAACCACCCTTTGCAAATACATTGTCTAACCTCTGAACAACACTACACAACCATGACCCAACACAAGGCTTAACATCCTAATCTGCCACAGGTAAAGCAGGGGGACCACAGCCTCCACCATCCTGCTGCAACGGTTGTTAAAATATGCTCAAGAGACCCAGGAAAAGAGCCATGACTCTCCCTTCCCCTGCTCTCCCACTTCAGAGGAAGGCAAAACCCTCACAGTCGATACCAATCTGACCATGGGGTAAAATTCTTTCCCAACTCCAAATCTGGCAGTTGGTCTGACCCTGAGTGGAGGGGCAAGACCCTCTAGCCAGGAACCTCTGGGTTTAAGTCTCAGCAGGAGCACTGGCACACCCTAATCAAAATCCCCAGCCTTGGCTGCAGCCAACATCCAATGCCTCTGATGAAGGGTTTAAAACAAAATCCTGGCACATAGAATCATAGAAGTCGGGTTGGAAGGGACCTTGCAGATCTTCAAGTCTGACCCCCTGCCTGGGCGGGAGAAAAACTGGACTCAAATGAGTCCAGCCAGGTAGGCATCAAGCCTCTTCTTAAAGACCCCCATGGTAGGAGCCAGCACCACTTCCCTTGCAAGTTGGTTCCAGATCCTAGCCGCCCTGACTGTGAAGTAGTTCTTACAGATGTCTAATCTAAATCTACTCTCCAACAACTTGTGGCCATTATTCCATGTTATGCCTGGGGCACTAAGGGAACCAAGGTCCCTCCCAAACCCTTCTGGTCCCCCCTAGTGAGTTTATAGATGGTCACCAGGTCCCCTCTCAGCCTTCTCTTGTGAAGGCTGAACAAGTTCAGGTCCCGCAGTCTCTAACTGTAGGGTCTGCCCTGTTGTCCCCGATCATGCAGGC